TGATGTTTGTAGATGGAGAACTTGATGCTTTCGTTGCTGATCTTCTCGGGAACATAAATGGAGACAGAGCAGGTCAGCTGGAAGTGGTCTCCCTCAAAAATGTCGACGGGCTCCACTGTCAGCTGTGGCTTTGAAAACAGCTCTGTTGGAGAGGGAGAGTAAAAAAAAGCATTATACTTAAACGTGTTAAGGAGTTGATAGATTTAAATAACTTAATGTCGTATAAGTTATCTCTCAACTAACTGTTATGCAGTCCTTGCCTTTGACTTTGATGGTTTTATAGGTTTCTTTGTGCACATTGCCCCACTCCGCCTTGCACACAAGCTCCCCAGAGTCACCTTCTTTTGCGGTGAATCGATGAATGAGGCTAACTGGGGCCTGCTTGAGGATCCTCCTGTCTCTTGTCAGGAAAACCTCAACGTTCTTGGGTGGATTCACCACTTTGCAGACCACCTCTATGACCTCACCCTCATAGACCTCAAGGGAGGGCAGCACGTTCATGATCGGGGAAATATAGAGTTCTGCAAGACACAACAACGCATGTAAGTCAATCAAACACATTTCTTTTATCAATCAGATTTTCTTGTGGAGACATACAGTAGAACAGTGGTTCTCAAACTTTTTTCAGTAATGTACCCCCTTTGAAACATTTTCTCAGCCGAGTACCCCCTGACCGACCCCGAACATTTTTGATCGAAAAAGCCTATATAAATAATTCCAATATAGTGATGTTCCTTCAGTGTGTGATGTATTAACTCATTCATGCATGCATTAAAACTAAAGATATTTTCATTTTATGCATGAAAAAAAATAACGACATTTTTTTAAAACTGATTTTTCCAAGGAGTTTTTCAACTGAAGTAATATCTGTTTAACAAACCAATGAACAAAATGATATATTATGCAAAACTATAAAATACAATACACAAATTTGACATGTTTATGAGGACCCCCTTGGTGGTTCTAGGAATATTTTATATACAATTGTGTTTTCTATTTAACTTATTGTACTAAGATTATCTTTGTAATCATTCATGGTATTTTTTTTATTAACTTTTTTTTGTTTTGTTTTTTAAATCTCACGTACCCCCTGCAGTACCCCAACGTACCCCTAGAGTTCCGCGTACCCCCATTTGAGAATCACTGCAGTAGAAGACAATCACCTCTGACTATCACTGGAATCTCATCGCTGCTGTTGGAGAGTCTGACCCCAGAAACTAAGTTGACCTCATAGTCACAGTACAGATGGCTGTCTCCAATCACCCTCAGGACTAGCGTGGTCTCTGCTGAGTTCCCGGTGGGCGCTGGCTGCTTTATCTTCCGAATCGTTCCATTCCTTAATTTCTGGAAAAAACGGAAGATGAGGGATCCTTTTTCCTCCGGAGCGCTGCAGGAGGCAGTGAACTCCTCACTCCCATAGGGCGAAGTCTTATTCAAATACAGGATGGGGGTCTGCAGGCCTGAGGAGAGGAAAAAGTCAATGGCAGAGTTAAAGTCAAGTCAAACTCTACATAATGATGTTGTTGGTTCAGATATAATAGTTTGAACTGCCTGGGAATGAGGTGTGTGATATTCTGTGTTATCTGAACTGTCTCAAATTACCACCAACTAAGAGGATCTGATGTGTCATACGCATAATTGTGTGTTATAGCCCAATATCGAAATAATGTGAATAATTAAGTTCAACATTATCCTTTACATAGTTTGTTTTTCTAAGACGAAATACCTTTTTTTCCTGCAGCAGGAAAATAAAAAAAACATGATTGTATGTTAAATGTCCAGTGATCAGTCTTATTTTCAGATGATTATACATGAATGAAGCATATTTCTGAGTATTATATTCCTTTTCTGATAATAGATACCCTTAAATATAAATTATACCGTCCAAAATTTGAATGCCAACAGCTTGAATTCTTTTTAACGCATTAAAAATAACTTCACATCTTCATTTCTGCAGCATAGACAGTACAATGGTTGCTTATTTTCTTCCTATAGCTCCTACCAATTGTTCAACATTAGAGTTTACTAGAACAAAACTAAGAGCACATTTAAAGAATCATAGCGTTCTTCAAGGAATAACTTTACAAAATAATAACGCAGCAAGAAAGTTCACTGTGATAGATATTAAATGGGGTGAAGCCTGCGAGCTAGTTCAGGCAGTCAACTCGAGCACCAATGATACATTAACATGTGACGCACCTCGTCCCTCTCACAACCAACCAAACACATTCTCCTAAACATGGCGCTCTATTGAAGCTGCCAGGTCTTCCTGCCTCTGCCTCGCTATGCTGCTGCTGCTGTGTTTCATGTTGCTGCTACTCGCCTGCCCCACCACCACCCCAGCTTCCACCCCAGCTTCCACCTGTAGGCTCGGGGGATAGTTATCCAATCATCACTCAATGTTCTTTGTAAATCTGTGGAGTGATGAGGCCCGAGNAATGCCTGATCAGAATTCTACCGGAGATAAATTTAAATTCTGCAGTGATAAAACGCCATCCTGTTGTAAACCACATCAAAGATTATTTCTGAAACAGTTATGGAGCTCAAATGTCTTTTTCTCGCATGTTTATCACAAGGTGAGTTCTTTTTTTATTTCCTGCTTTTTAAACACATGTGCTCTACAGTACAGGTTAGCTCTGAGTGTTAGCGAGGCTTGCTAATGTAAACAAAGACGAGATTACGTCCAAAACACGTCAGGCATTGTTTCTGACAGCAACTTTCTGTAGGTCCCCTGCCGATTTGACATCAGATCGGCAGCAAATCTGTATCCGCTCGTTGTACACCCGTTTTTAAAAGATTTGGGTACGGAGGAAAAGAGAGAGGGTTTTATTTTCTGACGCTGCGTGAGACACATATTTATATATAAAATACATTAAAAAGTGCATTTAGCATGATAGGTCCCCTTTAATGTTTGTGGGTTTAAGGTGTTGTATCACTGTCAAAGTGATACAACACCTTAAACCCACAAACATTAAAGGGGACCTATCTTTGAGAATATCCGTTAGCAGCTTTAAATGCTTTTCTAAACCTTGGAAAACGGAAACAACAATGTTTTAATCATTTCTAAGTATAAAAAACAACTCTATTGACTCTAGGATGTTTAAAAATAACTATCTATAGACTTTTCCTTTCCTTTGCACACAGTGACATTACACTTAGCATGTGTACATCTACTCTTAAGACCTTAATTATTCATGGTGCTGCAGAGATTGAGCATTTAATTGCCCTCCTGAAGTCGATCCTGGGTCCATGTGACAGGAAATAAGGCTTTTTTTTCGCCTTTTCCTCCATACTTGATTGACTTGTTTTCTGAAGACTAAAAAACTCACTGCTCTATAATGTATGCCCCACTGAGATAAATGCATTCACCTAAAAACCCTGATGTAATTGAGTTTACCAAGAGGTGGCAGAGGGCGATTCACAGCCTCGAACATCCATTTTAACTTAATTTCATCCCAGTTTCTTTTCCAGCTAATTAGTGTTCCCCCCAAATGAGACACATTGTTCTGCTATAAGGCCAACGCAGGGAGTTATGCAACGCTAACTCACTGTAATAAATTACTTTCCCCCCAAATTCCCCTCTGCTTTTAAAACACTTCTCTCCAACTGCTGCTCTCCTGTGTGCTGGTATTTTCCTTTTATTAAATGGGCCGTTATTGACATTTAAGAAAATAAGCAAAAATGTCAAGCCTTGTGCTTCCAAAAGTATTCCTATATGTATTTGCTGAGTGTTTTCATAGTTTAACTGGGACAGAAAACACGTTTGCATTCTGGGACATTTCAGTATTCCTGGTTTATTCCTTTAGAAAACCCTCTGACACACACACACACACATATTTACTGTTTGTATAACCCTAAATGAGTCCTGAGCAGAGCCGCTACATTTACATAATGCTCATATTGATTGTGAGTGGGTTCTGCCAGATGTCCTTGCTCTGTGAGGAGACCTCTGGGTTCAAACTGAGCTAAACACTGAGGTTAAATGTATGCATCAATCACAAGCAGCAAGATTAACCGAGGTCTACCTGCGCTCTTTTGGGAGATGAGAAGTTCCCTGGCTAATGCTGCATAATGTCTATTTTTGTGATACTTACAGAAGGAGATACAATCCATATATTTTTGAAAACAGGAAGCAAAACTACGATCTTCTGTGAGTATCTGAGAAGGGAGCGTTGATGGAGCTCAGACAATAGGCCTGCATAAAAGATCATGACGCTCTCTGCCTCCCCTTATAGATGTGCAGAATCTTCTCCTGACTTTATTGTGTCAGCACTTTACTTTGAAGAAGAACCAGCATCCATCCATGTACGAGAAACCAAAGAAAGACTCTCCTCTCTGGGGAGCCTCTTGTTCTGTGGAGGCTATTTAGAGATGTTTGCCCCACTCTCACAGCAGTGCTACCTGCGGCTGCTCGCCTCTGTTCTCCGGTCTGATTCTACCTATGGATGCCTCACGGATATCCAAATGTTTGAGTCAAACAACACTGTTTAAGTTTTGTTTTTTGTTTTGATACTTTTAGTACAAAGGGCATGTGGATGAGTGAATATAGCCTTGACTTTAACAAGAAAACTTCTGCGTATTTGTAAAGTACTTTTTTAAGAATGTTCTACCTTTTTTAGTGTACATGTTTTTAGGCTTCTTACCATCCATGTGAAACTTGGTGTCACGGTTGGGGAAAAATAAGACCCAAATGCAGATTGAGGAGGAAGCAGGTTTAAAAAAGAAACAAAAGGCGAGGTTTATTTTTCAAAAGCTGAAAAAACAAGAATCCATGTACGAGGCAGCATCCAAACAAAAGGTGACTGTGACCAACATGAAGGGAGACATGAACGACAAATAATGAACCAGCACCGAACACAGGAAGAGACAAGACTAAATACAGGGAGGGGTAATCACGAGACGAGAAACAGCCGGGCAGGGAAGGAGAAACACAAGGGCAACAGGTGAACACAATCAGACAATCAGACACACCAGGGAAACTAACGACAGGGAGGAAGACAAGACACAGGGAGAACAGAATAGCAAAAATAAAACCATGACAAGACGGACCAAACTAAAACTGTGACATAAAACTAAGATTGTGACTCTTGGAGCATGTTGGGGTATGTATGTATGGTCAAGTTATCTTAACTTCCTGTTATGCCACAACAAGGCGTTAGATGGAGAGTAACATGTTAAATTCTTAAAATGACACTGGCCAAATTTGAAGTCGATCGGATGAAAACTGTGGTAGAAGTTTGTTCAAATGAGCCACGGTAAAAGTGCACATAAAAATCTGAATGGCCGACTTCCTGTTGGGTTTGTGGTTTTGCCTCCAAAAGGCTTTTTTTGTGCTGTTTTGCTTGCACTGATAACAAGACCCTAAAACACTACATTTATCTTCATAAATCAACCGACCAACTCCTTATATTTGTGTAACACTAGTGAATGAAAACACACAGCAATTAGCCTTTTCTTTTGCAGATGTCCTGGAATGTTGTTAAGATGTGTGCTACATTTGTCTTAAGAGCTGTGCAGCAACTTCAAAGACTTAAACTTTTTGCCCATCTAAAAACACTGTTTCAAAATAATTGATTCGTTTTTTCTTCTTCGACGCCTGAATAATAGATGTTGAGTCCCAACACATGTGATCGGCTCTTTGCCTCGCTAGGATCTGCCACAGAGGAGCCTGGAGTGAATTGCTAAAGGACACTTCAGCAGAGTGGATTTGTAAAGGGCCTGACAGTTTAAAAAAAAAGGGCTGAGATTGAGAAAGAATTAGGCTCATGTCTAAACCAGCGTGTGAACAGAGTCGTCCTTGAATCCAGGTTTCTGTGGGGAGAGAGCTCACAGCGGGCTTCTCAGAGCAATAGCCCCCTGTGGAGTTATAGATGGAGCTCATTCTGCACGCCATGGATACATTCAGGAGGTTTGAAGGCTGTGATGCACACATCCGTGAAAGCTCGCTGTTAATGACCTGCTGTACGGAACAATGAGCATGACTTTTCTTTTGTGTGTCCCCTGCTTCATATTCCTACTGTAAAGCTGCACCAGAGGCCTGGAGCGTGGTCTGATTCTCCTCAGTAACCCTGAGAGAGTCGATGCAGAGAGCCTGTCACAGCCAAGCCTCTCAGATCATTTATTATTGATTCAACAGAAATTAGGTGGTTGGAGCGAGGGGGGACAGGAGGAGACAGAAAGCGGGAGAAAGTCAGACATAAGACCTATTTATACAGAAGAAGAGTTGAGAGAAAACATTTTGGGAAAGGAGCGAGGAAGAGAAAGAGGGGGAATTTAAAGTCCTGTCGGTTGGATTAGTGAAACAGAACAGTGATGAAAGTTGAACAGACAGACAGCTGGTGGAAGAAAGGTGGAGTTGAGGTTGGCGTGAGTTTTTTTGGGTCTCGTATCCTCAAAGCATTGACGTGTAGCAACACGCTCCATCCTTCCTGCAGGCGGTTGTGCCGGAGGCAGAAACACCTCCATGTCGTCCTTCATCCACTGTGTTTCTAGTCTTGGGTCAACCGGCCACGATGTGAGGCCCAGGGACTCTCTGGGGAGGAAGCCGGTTGCACTCTGTCAAAAGACACCATGCCAGGGAGGAGAAGATGGAGAGTGGCTTTGTGAAGTAAGCATTAGTAAGTCAAATAGATCTGCAGACTGCAAACACTTTAAAGTCTTACATATATATAGTGCCATTTACTATTTCACATAGTCACATTTTGAAATTGCTGTGGAAAGTCGCAAATAAAGTTTTAGGACACTCGCCTTTCAGCCAGTACCGCAAAAAACTATTCGTTTATGTCCAACGTCCTAAGGCGAGAGCAAAGGACCTTAAATATTTGTTTATTATTGTTACCATGATGGCGAAATCACAAAGCTTAAAGCAGCAAAAATCACTTTTTGTCGTACTGTTTTCAACATTCTTCTCTGAAACCTCATTTTGCTTACCACCAATAATGACAGTTATTGAGTATTGAGTAAGTATAGGCAGTCATAACGCGTTATAAGCCCCATCAGACAACCTCTATCTAAGGCACTAATCATTCAAAATATGTCACATCTTTATGACTTTTGATATTGTGCATCAGAAAGCACAGTGTGTGTAAATGAGTGTAGTCATCATGAAGCATATTACAGACATTATATTTCTCTAAGAAAGCCCCTTTTACACACTTAAGATGTAGTTTTCATAGAAAGTGTTACCATTAATTATATAAAGAGTGATTTGCACTCCTCTCCCACATACAATTCGTATCTTGTCGTATTAAACAATGTGTTCCAATATATGTCCCCTAAAACTCTAACAGCACAGGCTGTATCTTCTACAGAGTGCTTGTAATTAGTCCCTGAAGATCTTTTGCCTTGAAGCAGAATCATATTTCCCATCTCATGTCGTTCAATTAAGTTTTTTATTATCCATCCCCATTTCCCATAGACCTAAATGAAGTCCAAATTAGTTTTATACTTATCTCTTCCAACATGTGTTGAATGTCTTTGTGTAATTCAAAGAGACAACAGCACCGTTCATTTTATACGCAACACATTCAGGAAGCTGTTTCTCATGCTGTCTCTGGCTTCATCTGATGTTTTGTGTTGATATGGATCATTGCAGTGGTTGACTCTCAACACGCGGGGATCCATATTACAGTGTGCAGCGGAGCCAGAACCTGTTGGGCTGGCAGGATGGAGCCCAGGGCGAAGACATCAATCACCGCTCTGGACCCAAAGGAAACTGACGGTGTCAATGGTACCAGCGTGGCCACCATCCATCACTCCCTTCAATCCAACACCCTCTTTACAGTCATGAAAACACAAGGGCTGTCCCGACAAAAACTGACAAAGTCGAATCTGATTGTTCAAGTCCTGCCTATCGCTGAATCATGTTTTTTAGGTGGGGTTTTGCTCATTGATCCTTGTCTTTTTGAGAATGATGCATCGATAGAGAAATATTAAAACAACAACACATTTGGCCTTGATACATGTGGCTATTGCTAAGCTGTTGTTTCAGAACAATGGACATCACTGTTGGTGTTGGTGCGGCACTTTCCATAGCCTAGTACTAAAATATGGCAGAGGGGATTGACTCATAGACAGACTGTGAGAACAGATTTCTAGCCTACTTGCTTTTTGTGGTTGTAAAACTTCATCTTCCCCTCATTGTACCATTTTACAAATAATAGATAAACATCTGCAAGCCCTTAACAGGTGTTTCTATGCAACTCCCCTTGCAAATCTTGACAGAAAAACATTCATAAATTCAAAATTAATTATACATTGTGCTTATTTGAGTTTGAAACAGTAGCCAAAGGCTGTTCCGAAAATGCGGCAAATATGCATATTTTAATGATTTTACATAGTGATTTCATGATGCTTAATAAGGCGTGTGATGGGAAGCATGTGAGTTATTTTCGAAATGTTATTATACGATAGCTCAAGTCTGAAATTTGACTTGCATCACAGCAGCTCCATGTGTAACATCAACATAGAAACAAAACATGAACAACAAACATTTAACATAACATCACAATCACTGAGAGAAAACATGCTCAAAGACCCTTTAGCGTGCATTTGATCTGGGATTTAACTCTGTATTTACTGTGAGGATTGACTGACTATCAAAAGGCTGATACTGATACGTAGGCTTTATTGTTAAAAAAAAAAGTCATTGTGAGCCATTCAGCCACCATATAACTCGAACAGAATGATCCTTTGTTTCAGAAAACCAATTTCCCACTGCTGCAATGATTAAACTGCGAGGTTGGGAGTCAAATTAGTCTCCTTGAATCAAATTGTCTTAAAAGTCAAATATTCTGGATCACCCTTAGGAAACAAATGCAGGTAATATCATCCAGCCTGATGAGTCAGTTGGATGAGTGAGGTGCATTTTGAAGCAGGAGAAATCAAGCTGATGTGTCAGGAAGACAAAATAATTGCAGTTCATAATGTCAAGTTATCACATCATTGCCATTATCCAGCCCTAACAGAGACACAACCAGCTGCAAAACTCTGCTCCACCGCTGAGTGTGTATCCCACTGATGTACAATTAAACTCACTCTCTCTAGGGATCAGTCAAAAATGCTAATTCAATGGAAATGAAGAGGTGAGCAGATTAGGGTACAGGCAGAGCTGTATGAGGGGCTGCAATGGGCCATTTGTATCAAAAACAATCACATTTCTAACGACCCCTGTCATGCTAGTGTAGGGCAACAACCTGTTGGCATGGTCAGCACCCGACTACTGACCAGGTAAACACAACTTTCAAAGTAGACTGTGTATTGGATTTCTGAATAATATTAAGAGGAACACTGAAATGGCGGTAGATGTTTGGCAAAGTACTGTTATGATTACTAATGCAGACCTAGATTTGAAGATGAGCTTTGAGAGGACTCAAGAATACATAATGAATGTCTCAATGAAAACAACTTTACCTAATTGGATAAAGATGGCAAGCTGACACATTATTTGAACGTCCTACTTTACGTTCTTTTTGTGTTTTTAAATGTTTATTGGAGGCGGTATGAACTCTAATAGACCTATTGTCAATTGCACCATCCGCTTGTTTAGCTAGAAATGCTTTGATTACCTAGAAACTTCTTGAAACACACGCTTCAGGAAACAGCCTGATTCTTTACTGTTTCTGACTGGTACCATTCATAGTTATTAGCATTAGTCAAATAGTACAGTTTCTGTTGGAAGAACATGGCGGTCTCCCATCAAGGTCACCTCTGCTGCAGCTCTGTAGAAGATAAAAAGCTCTTGTGTACTGCCTGAAAACATTTGTTGTTTATAAAATGTGGCACAAATGAAAGCGACTGGGAGTATTCTGCAGATAAAGCCGCAGAGCAGACCTTCTTCCTGTTAGGCTTCAGCAGCTCTTAGTGGTCACAGTTGAGGACTGCAAGATGCTGCTCGGCACTGCATCCGTACATCTGGAGTTTAAAAGCAAATGCAACCACAATCCCAGCATTAAAATATGCATGTGATTGTGACAAAAAAAGGCTTAATTCCCACCAGTATGTGCTATAATTGGAAATATACTCTGTTGAGAATAGTTTCCTAGAAATCCAATAGCATAAGGCCTTTAATTTGACGGGGCAAACATCCGTGACAACTACAATATCTGTTAAAAGATTAATCTACACCTGTTTTACAATAATGCCTGCCTATTCACGGCTAATTTTCTCATTGACGGAATTAAGTGCATGACTGATATCTCAAGATGAAGCTATAATTAATCTGACATTCCCTTATGTTGTGTATTTCTCCCCATATTGCCCAAACACTTGATCATGTTTAAATCATCTCTCATCTCTAAGTTTGTATCCTATTAATGATTCATTGGCTCACAGCTTCATCTCACAGTTTTATCAGGAGCACTGGATGAGGAGAGTATTAAGTATGTGGTGGAAGGTGGTGTGTATATCAAAACACTGAATGTTTGGATATATTTTCATTAGAGATTTGGATCATGACTCGGTAGTATTAGCTGCAGTTCAGCGAAAAAATCTGCAGACATTAAGAATTTAAGAGGTTTTAAGAGATTGTGGGCATTGCAGAGCCGTTAGGGTCTTACATAATTCCTGATCTTTGTTGTTTTAAAGCCTGGAGAGCAACAATCCAGTCTCTGATGTTACCAAATGTTTCCGGCCTAGCTCAAAATGGTTATTATCCTTAAATCCCAAAAGGATAATTTGCTTAAAGAAAAAACGGACAAGTTATACAAAAATGGAAAGTCTTGATGAATGGAAGTGCATTTGGGGATTGTCATAAACAGTTAAACTAAATGAAAACATCTGTTTATTTACCCTCACACAAAACTACTTTTTATGCTCACTTCATGCATTGTGGTTACAAACTGTCAGGGTGTGTGGAAAATGGGACCCAAGTGCAGTTTAAAAAAAGGACAAAAAAAAAATGTAAGGTAACAAAAACCGAGCTTTATTATCAAAAGCCGAATGCAGGAGAAAATAATAACAGAAACAAAACCGGGGAGCACGACAGACAGGAACAAACTTACAGACGGGAACAGGCAGGAGACACGGACAAGCATGGGTGACAGGGACATGAAATGACGACGAACAGACATGGAGCACAGGGGAAGACAAGACTAAATACACAGAAGGGTAATCACAGGACAAGACACAGCTGGCAGGGGAGGCAGAAACACAAGGGCAACAGGTGAACACAATGAGGCACCATCAGACACAGGAGGGAAACTAACGACAGGAAGTCAAGCACATGGGCCGAAGGACTGTTCCAATCTCCAGCATACTTGGAATTCCACCGAGGCCACGTCCTTGGTTTGGGGGTAATTTCGAGGCTGCACATGGGTAGACTTCACGTCCTTCAAATCCCCACAATGCTTTGCGCACGGACCAATTTCAAAAACCCTTGCGGAGAATGGCTGAACCGACGCAGCACAGCACACATTTAAATGTAAGTATGTAGTGGCGTAGAACATGTGTTGGTAAATATGTTACTTTGTTGCATTTGTTATCACCAAAAATGTGTTCCATGAAAGTAAAGCAAGTTCATAATTAGATAGACATCGTGAGGTATTCATTTTCGGTACAGTTTATGTTGAAACTATTAGAGAGAGTGGCACACTTGTTAGCCTGTTCCATTCTTCTTTGTTTTCCGAAGCATTGGCTTGGAAGTTATACTTGCTTCGTTTCTGAAGGAAGTGACTTGGAAGTATGCGACTACCAAGCCAGTATCCTCGCGATTGAGAAACGGCCAGGGAGTAGGATCAGACAGACACAAAGATGAAAACATTTCAAAACAAAAGGTGGAAAATGAAAACAAAAATCCAAAACCATGACAAAAACATAAACAAACATTGCATTTTGATCAGGCAAGCTATCGTACTCTTAAATTATGTTTATTCGCTTTTTTTAAATAAGTTTTAGGCATTAAGCATCTCTTGGTTTTCTTCATGCGTTCAAAGTAACACATGAGGAGTTATTGAGATTATCAAATGATAACTTGGGGGTAAAGAACACCTTTTAATTATGGAACTTTTTAAGAAATACCCTGACTGATCCATGTTGAGGAAAAACTGAGAAAGGCAGAAAATGCTAGATTCCTGAGGAAGTAGCTGCCATTTCCTGTTCAGTCAAGCAGCAGTGTGTAATGATAAGACGAGGAACACCCCCCCCACCATCACCGCCCGAAACACTACGAGTTGTTCCTCCGCCTCTCCCTTCCTACGGCACTCCCTCGTCCCCCTCCCTGCCCTCCTGGCCTCTGTCCGGCGGCCCTCTGCGGCTGGGTTTTAATCTCCCAGCACCATCACTCAGGACAGACTCCAGACCCACCAACCTGATGCTGCTGCTGCTTCTCACCTGCCTCCTGCACTCCTGTAAGGACCCACTGCTGCGCTGCAAAGGATAAAGGATGTTCCCCTTAGTTAAACCTCATCTGGTGATTCTCACTTCTTTCTTTTCTGTCTTTTTCTCCTCACACAGGGCAGTGTGCCAGAGGACAGTCGTGTAAGTAGAACTTCATTGGACTGTATATTATTTTTAACTATTGGTTACTAATTGGTCTAGAGGGTTGAAGAGACAGTTTCAGGTTATCCAGTCTTTGCTGTATTAGATGAGAAAGTTATTTTTACCTGGCACAGTTATTTTTTGCAGGAAGTGGGCATTGTAGCATGCACTGCTGGCCTCCTTGATATTTTCAAGTATTTTGTAAGATCTATTGAAGCTATTTTTAGCAGTTGGAGGTGAAGCTGGGTAATCTTTCAAATCAGCATGAGTTTGAATGAGCCTTTCGATTTTTAAATAGCTTTCAAACTGCATTTGTCTCAATGCTTCGTGTTTTTTTGTTGTGTCAGTGTTTATCTGGAGCTCCTAGGTGGCTATAAAGGCAGTCAATTTTATGAGGAAATAATTGGACATTTTGGAGAAACTCACTTTGTTAGATTAGCATATTGAAACCATTCATGTGCGCCCGCTCAATGTGACACTTCAGCCAGCAATTGGTTAGCTTAGCTTAGCATGAAGACTGGAAAGAGGGGAAAAGCACCTCTAAAGCTCAAATAGCAAATTGTAATTGTTATACTTAGGTGTATTGCAGAGATTGAACAAAATAGGACTTACATGTTAGTTGGTGAGCCTTAAAGGTCCCATGTCATGGCCATTTCTACTGATCATAATTCCATTGTTGAGGTCTACTAGAATAGATTTATATTGTGCAATTTTCCAAACTCACATTGGTTTCTCATACAGCATCTCTGTAAAGTATGTGTATTCACCGGTATTCACTCTCTATCCTAAACGGCTTGTTGGAGCTCCCCCCCCCCTGTGAGCCCAGTGTGCTCTGATTGGTCGGGAAGTTGCGAGGCTCATTGCTGCGATCTAGTGCGAGGAGCGGACAGTCTTCCGGGTCGGCGATACAGCGAGAACAAGCGAAACTCATCCTGAGCTCACACAAACACTGAGAATGGGTCTGCGGAGAGCATTTCTCGCCGATCCCAACTTAGCAGCCCGAATAACGTTTATCCATTTAAACAGTCGTGGTAGATACCTTGTTTGTTTTAAACATCATAAATACACAAACAACAATGAATACTTACAGGTTGTGTACCCGAATCTTCCGCTGGTCCAAACAAAGTAGGAACAGCATCGTTCTTCAGTGCCCTACGCTGTACATATCCGGCATTAATCGCTGAAAGGTTTGGAAAGCTTTGTTTCGTGAAATGCTGGCAGAGGGTGTGGCCTCTGGGTATTCACACGTCACAGTACCCAGGAAGTAAACAATGGAAAATGAGAAATCTCCAACGAGGCGTTTTGGGGCCGCATAGACTGTGTTAGAGTTTTACTCGCTACAGAGTGTACTTTGAGGGTTTTTGACTCTGCAGACCGTTTACATGCATAAAAACCTTCATAACACACAAAGGGATGGGTAATAACCGGAAAAGCATGACATGGGACCTTTAAATGTGCTGGTAGAATGTTTTTAAGCTAGTTGTTTCACCCTCTTTCCACTCTTTATGCTAAGCTACGCTCACAAGCTACTGGCTGTAGCATGACATTAAGCATGCAGAGTGGTTTATATCTTCTAATCTAACTCTGCAAGAGGACAAATAACTATTCCTTTAAAAGAGCAATACCTTTATGTGTATTTTACTTAATAATCTAACAGTCTAAAGCAGGGCTGTCAAAATCAAGGCCCGGGGGCCAAATCAGGCCCGTGACTTCATTTTATGTGGCCCCACAAGAGCTTGCAAAGAATATTATATGTTTATTATACGGTTACATGCCGATTTACAGAAGCATGTTGTCCATAAACTACATGTCCCACAATGCATCTCAATTTAGACTTTTTTTCTCAGAATGTGACTTTTTTTTTATGTTATGAATGTGCAATTTTCTCAGAATTTGACTCTATTTTTTAAATTGTACTTCTTTTTTAAATGTCACTTCTGTTTTTTGATTTTGACTTTTTTTCCAGCTTTTCTTTTTAAATCATTTTGTGACATTCTCACTGAAGAGAGAGAAATTATTCGCCCTAGACTTCTGCTTTCAGACGTAGATAATTATGAAGTTATTACCCTATCCAATAATTATCCAATGCAGAGGCAATAATGTAATATAATACATTATTTTATATATATATTTATATATACGTTACAACCGGCCCTTTGAGTGCAGCCATAATGCTGATGTGGCCCGCGATTAAATTGAGTTTGACACCCCTGGCCTAAAGCTTTTATTCCACAGCTTTGAAGGAAGGAACTGTCTCTCTACGTTTGTACTATTTCTACAGAAAGTATGAAACTGTTTGATTTGAAATAACACTCTTGTCCAGATTTTCCAGACGCAACCCCAGATTTAATCTAACTCATTAAACTGGAAATGATGGAGTAAACAAAGTCGTTCACTGCCTCAGTTGCTGTACTGTACATCAGTTAGCCCAAACTAACAACAGTACTTTCAGGATGTGGACTAAGTGATTGCTTGGTTCCTGTAGAGGCAGGGTACACCAAGCTGTTGTTGCTAAAGGAGAGCAAAAGCTGGGATAAATCAACACTGCTCTCCCAGTAGTGATGAGAGGGTCAGACGCTGTTTGTTGAAGCTTTTTCCTTCCTTCAGCCGCTCCTGCTTACTGTGCAGTAGACTGGAGGCCGGGGAGCGCCTTCCTTCACCTTTATTGTGGAGAGAATAATAGACCCAGACTGTTGTATTGTATTATTATCAGCCCCTGATGTTGGTTTAATAAACGAGACATGCAGTCTTTATTATTATTTCTTGTGCATGTTTCTTACTCTATTTACTTGTGTATTTGTACTCGCAGCATACACTATAGACACCGTCAGCCTTAAAATCCTACCCAGCAGCACCGTTCAGAGCGGGACACCGGTGACCCTGCGCTGCCAGGTCAGAGTCAGCCATGACAACATCCCTCACCTGACACACACTTTCCAGCTCAGACGAGACGACGTCCCCATCCACTCCTCCACCACCACAGAGGACTCACTCGTGTATGAGCTGAACCCGGCCCGGGCAGCTGACTCTGGGAGTTATGAGTGTCGCGTCAAAGTGAAGGACAAGAGCAGAAACAGCGATAGCCAAAAGCTCAACGTCACAGGTAGAGCTCAAACTAGGTGTATTTATCTTTAATTGGTTGGATTTGTTTTATGTTATTGCTTGTGTCTGGGTAATGTGATAATGTACCTGAAATTGACCCATATATCAGCACGTTTATGGAGAGTTTAAAAAAGTTAGGCATACCCAATGTTTTCTTTTTTCACAATTGATGAATAATGTATTCTACTGCCAGCCATGACAGAAGTCTTCTGATTTCCCGCCTTCTGCAGGAAGCATATACAAGCATGTTGTTTAGTTCAGTCAGACAACTCACGTGTTTCTTAATATGTTTATTATAAGCAGCATATAGTTTGAGTTTGGCGTCTAGGCTCGGGCCTCATCAAATCANATATTTTAAACATATATTGTAGGGCCATACCTATACAAAACATGTCTGAAGTATGAGCAGTATGAGGCATGGCTACAATGGGTGAACTTCACAGCAAAACTTCAGACATGTTTTGTATAGGTATGGCCCTACAATATATGTTTAAAATATAGCATGATAGGTCCACTTTAAGATACAGAGGTTTATTTTCTTTTAAAATATTATTTTTATATGGATAGGCCTTGACCTTAAAATTGTAAAGGTTAGGTTGGATAGGTTGAAAGGAACGTGAGAGTTTCGAGCTAACCTCTTGAGAGAGGGTACATGTTGGTATCCACCAGGCCATAGTGAAGTTAAGTTCAGAGAAACCTTTAAAGAGGGAAAACATGTAAGGGAGACTTGAAAAGCTGCGTAGGGTGGGAGATAAAACTAGTTCACCTGCAGGCATGACGGCTCCGGTGTGGGAAGTTTGCCAAAGACTCCAGACACCACAACTCCATTGAACTGCAACATTCAGAAAGCTAACCCTGGTGGTGATACGCTTAATCAGCAACTCATTCGGCAAGGGCTTGAATGGGACTGATATTTTTTTTTTTTTACTACTCTGGATCAATAGGTAACCCTGTTTTACCCTGCCTTTACCATAGCAGTCAGATCAGGGTTTGTAGTTTTTTTGGGATTTCTAAAGTTGTGCCTTGCTCTGGGGCATAACGTTAGGTAAACTGCTATCATTAGTCATGTTGCTAAAATCACATGTACAAGTACTTTCCATATGTAATCAGACCTTTAAATCTAGTAAAAGCTAATTGTTTAGTTCATTCAAAGTATTCATGCCACGGCTCTTTAACACTCAACACCACCAACATAATCTAAAGGCTTTCACAATGAACGAACAATTAGTGTGACCCTGAAATGATTTGAAAAGTGCAAAGAATCCATCCACTCCCACCTATTGCCAATCAATGAAATGTCTTTTTAAATTCCAAGCAGGGGCGGACTGGGACTTCAAATCAGCCCGGGACTCTCGATCGGCCCACTTCCGTAACGCCGGCCCACCGCGGTGCTAGTGACTTACCGCAGAGGTAGACATTAAGGGTAAAATGCATGGTAAAATGCCACTGGCATTATATTATCACTNCACTTCTAAAAGGGGTAAATTAATAATATTTTCTCTCAAAGCAAGGTTACATCTGTGAGTTTGATGTAGAAATGTCAGAATCAATCTAGATGTTTTTATTTTAAAGTAAATTCAGATGGAACATAGTAAAAGCATGTAAATTATAATGTCCGCCTAAAAAAAAAACATTACTCATAGTGAAAACCAGGGGCGGACTGGGACTGCAAATCAGCCCGGGACTCTCGACCAGCCCACTTCGGTACCACCGGCCCACCTCGGTGCTAGTGACTTACCACAGAGGTAGACATTAAGGGTGAAATGCCACTGGCATTATCACTGGCCCCACCATTGTAACCACTGGCCCGGAGCATTCGTCCAAAAANTTATTGGTTTTATACCTTGTTAACCCTCCTTTTACTCCACTTTTAACTCCTTCATTGACTAATAAAGTTCTTACAACATGCATGTTTCATATTACATGTGACTTGTTTTTAATAATTTAACGTTGTGAAAACAAAAAACCGAGGTAAAACAATACTCTACTTTGAGGTTTCTAGATTTTGTAAAAGATCTATGTGTTTTTATTGGTAAAGAGAGTTTTATAACAAGTGTTTAGACTTTTTAGACAGCCCTATCACCTCGGTGAAGAGGAAACGGCCCTATATTAGGTAGGCGTAGGAGTGATATTGTGGTCATTGTTAAAAAATGTCTGCTATTATTATGAGTATTATTATTTGTATAATGCACTTTCTGCCTTCCTGTCATTAGGAGTTAGACATGTAATGGCTATGTAATTGATTTGATAGACCCTTCATTATCCTAAACTGCTGGGACATTTCGCCAATACCTTTATATTGTCTACTCTTCACTTACTTGTCAGCATAGGTCGGCATTGATGTACAGAGCCGACAGAAGACCTTGTTTATATTGGCATCATATTGAGAGGTGCAGCCAGTGACGCGTCCTAAACCAGGAAGTAAGCTGCTGGTTCCCTCGACAAAAAGCAATGGGATTTCTCCACAGGGTTTTGGAAAATAGCTGGAAATAAGGTCTGTGGAAAACAAACCTGTTAGATAAATGCACGTTTTGTTCAGCCGGATAATCTCCACATGTCTACCCTACTTTTATAATGTTCAAATCATAAATCTAATCGATAGATTATAAAAAAGGGTTTTAGGACGCGTCACTGCACCACTAGAAGCCAATAGATCGATCAAGCTGGCTGAAACTTTCTCTCCCTCTTCTTCTCATGCTCCCTGTCACTCTCCTTTAACTCCTCCGGTAACTTTCTTTTATTTTAAGATTGTTTTTTGCCCGGCGCTTGGCCGGTTACCGCTGGTATTAAAAACATTTTGGCGAATGGTTAGGTGGCGCGATACTCTGTAGTGAAGGAGCTCCCGCTGCGCTCTGCAGCAAACAGCTGTTTGCTTTTCCCCCAACAACGACAACCGACTCACGGAACTCTATGTTGTAGCGTTGATAAACGAAACAATTTAACTAAATTGCTAGTCAAAATACCAATACCACAGGACAATTATTTTAAAGCAATATTTTTAGTGGCCCGAGCGGGCAAGTGGAAAGTACGTTATGCTGGCCCGGGGTGTCTAAATAGTTCTTCCGGGCCAGCGGGCCAGTTATAATGTCGAGCCCTGCCGGTTACCGGCCGGCCCACATCGTCCGACCGGCCCACTTTAGTACCGGCCCATCGGGATTCGTCCCGAGCGTCCCGATGGCCAGTCCGCCCCTGGTACTAGGGCCACAAAAGCTATCTCCTTCAGTTTCTGGGGACAGCGTCGCAGGTTCCGGCGTAGGAAGCCGAGCGAACGGTTTTGCCTGTGTTACAATTTGGCCAATGTGTTGGCCAAATTTCAGGTTGTTATGGATTTCTACCCCAAGATAAGGCTGGTGGGTCACTTCTTTTAACACCTGGCCACATAGAGTATAGTTTTTAAAGTGCGGGTTTGTTGATCTGCTTGTTCGTAGGACGTAGCACTTACTAGTATTAAAGCACATTCCCCAAGTGTTAGCCCATTCCTGAAGTCTAGTCAGGTCACCCTGTAGGTCTTCTTAGTCACTTCCATTTTTAATAGGCCTGTAGAGCAGGCAGTCATCCGCGAATAACCGCACTGTAGATGCTACATGTGACGGTAGGTCATTAATGTAGCATAAGAAAAGCAATGGACCCAGCACAGTGCCTTGTGGGACACCAGAGTCAACTTGAACTGTACTTGATTTCACCCCTTATACAACTACTTGTTATAAGAAAGGTTGTGGTCCAATCAAGTATTGGGCCGGTTATACCCATGTGGGCCAGCTTTAGCAACAGGCGCTTATGTGGAACCGTGTCAAAAGCCTTTGAGAAATCAAGGATTGCCACATCCATCCATCCATCCATCTTCTCCCGCTTATCCGTGGTCGGGTCGCGGAGGTAGCAGTTCCAGCAGAGAGCCCCAAACTTTATTTTCCCTGGCCACATCAACCGGCTCTGACTGGGGGATCCCAAGGCGCTCCCAGGCCAGCAAAGAGATATAATCCCTCCACCTGGTCCTAGGTCTACCCCTTGGTCTCTTCCCAGCGGGACGTGCCTGGAACACCTCCCTAGGGAGGCGCCCAGGTGGCATTCTAACTGGGTGCCCGAACCACCTCAACTGGCTCCTTTCGACGCAAAAGGAGGAGCGGTTCAACTCTGAGTCCCTCCCGGATGACCGAACTTCTCACCTTATCCCTAAGGGGGACACCAGCCACCCTGCGGAGAAAACCCATCTCGGCCGCTTTTACCCGATTGCCACATCGACTTGCAATTTCTGGTCATGATATTTTGCCAGGTCATACATTGTGACTAGGAGTTGAGTTTCACACGAATGGTTTTGTCGAAATCCATGCTGGAACGGGGTGAAGACATTATGCCTTTCCAGGTTATTCAACAGGTGTTTGCAAATGATGTGTTCCAGGAGTTTACAACATACTANACGGCGTCCGTCGATTCACGCGACGGTCGGTGAATCATGGCGGTACCTTGATTCATGTCTAGCCGCAAGGTGTGGACCTTATTCAAGGGACTCCTTCTAATGCGTTTACTTCCGGCGCTGCAGTGAAGAAGAGAAGAAGACGAAACCAAATGACCGTCCGCCGGTTGGTGAAGTGCCGCATATATGTGGTGGGCTTCAAAGGGCCGCCTTCGAGGGTCTCAACCTGACGGAAGTCCGTCGATAGATGACTCGGGAGAGGCTCATTTTAGCGGTCTGCTGCTGTGGAGGAGTAGTGAGGTGCCGAGGTCAAAAAAAAACACAACGGTATTCAAATCAGAGAGAGGAAATCACGCACCCGATTACGGATTATTACGATTACGGTCGGTTTACTTCTTACCGCCCGAAGTGTTTTGCAGAAACTCAAAAACGCCCGGCACCAAACGTTGAACGGGTCGGTTAGCTTTAAACCATGATAAAAAGAGGCGGTCCTATCATCGTGGAGAGATTCGTCCGTGACCTTTACCCCCCCATTTTCAAGGAACCTTTGATTCATGAGAAAAACCAACACTTGCGTTTTAAGGTCCGTA